GTGGGACGCGGCCTCAGCATGGCCGGAGAAGCAGCGCGTCGGTGCGAGCCCGGGATCCGAACCCGGGTCGCCAGCAGTGGAGCGCGCTCACTTAACCACCAAGCCACGGGGCCGGCCCGTGAGATTCACTCTTGAATGGAAAGAGAAATAAAGCTTTGGTCCTTAAGGAAATGATGCCTTTTTATTTTCACAGTGTTAGTTTGATAAATTCTCTTTATTATTTTTAATTCCAAAGCCGTTAATAACATCACATCATCATTTGGGACATTCAAAATCTAATTTGTATTATTCATATTAACTATAACAACACCCAACTTAGTGACAGAAAGTTTTGGAGTCAGAAAGTCTTACTATAAAAAATGGACATGTCGGTTATCAAAGAAAGATATTCGATATGCACTGTTCAGACTATTTTAAGTTTAATCTTCAAAATGAAAAATATTTTCCTAATGAAACATAAGTTATACTGTAATTCCCCTCATTTACTCTCTATTTACAAAAATAATAATTGAGAACGTACAAGTTCAACTCAACAATGCAAGTAATAGTATTCTGCACAATATCACTTATAATGTCATTCAACTACTCATAAACAACTTAAGAATAACATTATTTAATTCATTCCACAACATTAATTAAGCTTCTTTATGTACCAGGCACTCTGCTAGGCACTGGAGATTAAAATATGAATGAAACACTATTCTTACTGTCAAAGAGCTTTCTGTTCAGTAGAGAAGATTGCAGATAACAGCAAATGTGTGATAGGTATCACTATAATAGAGCTATGTATAGTCTATTATGCATGTTTAAATGAAAGAGCGACCAAGTCAACTCATCCAACAACTAAATTTCATAAAGACTCATATATATTCTAGTCTAAAAGTATAAATCCCACAAAACATCATGAATATTGATAAGAATTCTGCTTATTTTGATAGCAATAATTCTTTACCTTTACAAAAAATTTACTTCTAAAAAAGTCACCCATGTTTCAAGACATACAAGGAGCATAACAGAGAATAACACTTGGAAAGACGCACCAAACACTAGTCAAGATCTTTGCATATATTAACTCATTTCGATTTCACAATAACCCCACGAAGTAAGTGTTTTTATGATTCCCATTTTACAGATGAGGAATCTGAGGTTAACTTGCCCAAAGTCAGAGAGAGCAAGAGGCAATGCTGGGACTTGAACCTACAGACTCTGGTTCTGGAGGCCCCACTCATGCATTACACTAGACATCCTCTCTAAGGATGGCAGTGATGATGGGGCAGCTAAGACTAAGTCCTCTGTGGCATGCATTCTCATTTATTCTTACAGCAACCCTTTGAGGAAAAGTCATCCTTCCCATTTACAGGAGAAAACCAGCACAGGCCAGGTCTGAAACTTGCCCAAGGTCAGCTAGCCATGGAAGGATGGCGGCGGCAAGATTCAAACTCAGGCAATATGGCTCCCCTATGCTGTGAGGCCTGTCAAGGATTCAGTCTTACACTCATGAAAAAGGCCACACGATGAAATTTATTAAACAATTCAAAAAGGGCTTGTACAAGTCTTCCTGAAACACTCTGCAAGGTTGGGGGGCTTATGACAGCATTTCCTTACGACAGCACTTACATTTGAGTCAACTTTACTACTTTGGGCTGATCATAAACACATTTCTGCTCTTTAAAAAGAAATCCTTCTGGAGAAACTTGGCAGATTTCAGCAAAGGAACAATCTATTCTTTAAAATTAAATTTAGTAACAACTTATTCTGGTTAGTCTGAAAGAAAAGGAGAGAATGAGCTACTAAGCGGCCTTTCCTGTACTTTAATATTTCAAAACATGTTTGGTTTGGCCTAATTTGAATCTTGTGGACAACTAGACCAGAACTTGATTCAAAAAGAGTAAGACCATTTTAAATAGGCTGAATTCTCAAAAGTGACCTCAGAAGCTGATTCAGAGTAACTATTTCTTATAATTTTTACTTTTATCTCAAAATAAATATTAAAGATGCATAAGGCAAGATTCTCATAAAGCATACATGGGCAAGTGTGTGTACTTTTGAGCTACCAACAACCAAGACACCAAACTAAAATTTTACAAAATTCTGTAGCATGACATTGCTTAAGAGCAATCAAGTATACAAAAGAGGGATATCAGAAGAATAAAAAATCCCTACTTACTCTTAACACACCCCACTGTGCCCAGTGACTGAGAAATAAAAAATTCAGTGTTGTAATTTCTCACTAGAATAGAGGTGAACTAAAGACGAAGTGTCAAGCTGGATTTCCATCTTATCTTGCTTCCCTCCAACAGGTTCAAAGACTTCATAACCTTTACTTTACTACTGAATTCTATTTTTCCAAAAGGAAACCTATAAAACTATTTTAAAATAAAAATAGTAAGCCATGCCACTAGGTAACCTCTCTTCTCTTGTTCTATCACCACACATTCAAATCAGAAATACCTTTTCCTTTGCCTTAACTGAATAAAAGTTTAACTCGGGTTTGGAGGAAAATGTACCCATTAGCCTTTTTAGACTTTTTGCAGGTCACAGTCTATCAGATCACATCGCTATTACCGCTCACTAAGCATCCTAAAGACAGAAAGCATGCCATTACCGTTCATTTTACAAGCGTTATAATGCCCCGATGGTGGAAGTCTGGCAGTACCTAGAAATACAGCAAGGCTGGTGAATAAGGAGTCGAGGGGCGGGAGAAGAGGGAGCGAGGGAGGGAGGGAGGCAGTCGCCACCTCAAATCCACGCCGGACCAGGAACCACCAGCACACAACGTGATCTCTAACCTCCCCAGAGTGGACCGGCCACATCTTTCCAGATGCCCCCCAAACCCAAGACGGTACTCACCCTTCTGCGAAGAAGTGGGCACCGGGTCCAGCTCCGAGACGGGTCGGGGTGGCAGCGAGGGAGGGGACGTCTGGGCTGTGGGCGGGGGGTGTCGGTGCGTCACTCGAGTGCAGGACGGTGAGTTCCAGGGGTGGCAGCGGAGAGGAGCGGGGAAATCAAGTCACGGCCCAAAAGGGAAGGGGTGGAGAGCCCCCTTCCTAAAATAAACCCACCGGCCCCTGCGACCCCCTGCCCCAGGGAGGGAAAAAAAAATCAGGGGAAATAATAGACTGACAAATCTCCAAAACGCCGAGGAGCGAGGAACAGACTTTAATTTTAAAGGGGGGAAACTGAGCGAGGGCTGGGGGGGAGACAGAAAGAAGTGGCTCTGGGTCTATCCCATGCCTTTGCAGTCCCCGAGCAGAGGAGGAGGCTGGCTGAGGGGAAGTTGCAGCGGCTCCTGAGGAGGAGGCGGCGGAGGAGGAGGTTACACCGTAACAAGTACAGACAGACAGCCATGGATCAGAGGGGAGCTGCGAGCAGGGGCGGCCGCGGCGGGGCGAGCGGCGCGGCGGCAGCACCGCCTGCTCGGCTCGCTCAAGACATTTAATTGGATTGATGGGTTGTGCAGTGACTCACAGACTTTACAGAGTCGTACAGCAGTCCCCGCCCAGCTGGACAGGGGAGATGCGGCGAGGACGGGCGGGGTAAGGGGCCGTGGAAGAGCCGGCAGGGGAGGAGGCGACTGAGAGGGCGAGGCGTTGGGGGGGCGGGGAGCGGGGCGGAGCCACCCAATGGCGAGGCCCGCCGCTCCGACGGGCGTGGGCGTCGGCCAATGACGGCGCGGCTCGATAGGCGGCTGGCTTCGCCCCTGGCCCAATGAGTCTTCTAAGGACACTGCCGCGAACCGGGCGGGGGAAGTGGAGTGGGGGGTGGGGAGAGGTGGGTGGACGTTGAAGTGGGGGGTGGAGGGAAGGATGAGGCGCCGGAGACCGGCGGAGTCACTCTGCCCTCCTCGCTCCAGAAGTGCGCCTTCCGCCAATCCGAGGGCCGCATGGGGGTGATGGACGCAAGCGTGTGACCAATGAGGAGGAGAAGGTGCCGCAGCGAGCCGGAGGGGAAGGAGTGGGCGGGCCACCGCCCTCCTCTCCCTCCGGCGGCCGGGTCCTCCCTCCCGCCCGGTTCGGGTCAGTCACGCAAATAACAGTGTGAGGGCTGGGGCCGCGCGGTGGGGGTGGCGGAGGGGCCGCGCTGCTGGCGGCGTGACAGCGATAGGGACTGGCTGTGCTGCCGACTCCGCGCCGGCAGGAGGAGGTGGCGGCGGAGGCTGGCTCCTTAGTCAGTTTGCAGACTGCTGCTCAGCGCTGCCTTGCGCTGCGGGGGAGCCCCTGCGGCCAAACCCCGCTCCCGAGGGGCAACCAGATTCGAAGTGAATCAGATCAAAACTTTGCCCCACGTCTGTGCAGCGCCCACTCTCGGAGACAGCTCCATGTGACGTCCTGCGGGGCTGTGCTGGGGCTGGGGCTGGGACCTGAGGAGGCTGGAAGCCAGAGACCGAAGGCTTGGCAATGGCATTTGCCTGCTTGCTTGCTTGTGTTTGGGGAAGTCAGGGTAGGGTGTGGACAGGTTGAAACAGCTCCTGAATACATACCATTTCTTTACTGAGTTTCTGGAAAAGGCACTTCTTAACCTGGCATGAGCGAATCTGTATGGGCTTTGCTCTTTTAATACATGTGTATACCTCCAACCCTCCCTGCCGCACCACTCTTTCTCCCGCTTCTCTGCCCACCCTCCTCGCCTTCTACCCTGACGGCAGTGCTTCGGAGCGCTCACTATTAGATCTTCTCACTGCTCATTCCCAGGAGCTATGGCTTTTCTCAATTTCTTGCCTACTGTCCAGTAATCCTTTTACAGACCTTAACACTTTCCATGCACTTGTACTTGGAAGTAACTGCAATCACCAATAAACCTGAATAGAGATGCCCATAAAACAAATACACTGTCCAAAAATCCACCCTCTTTCCCACAAGAAGCATTTCTGCACATTATTTGAAATTTACAATTGCTTCCTATCAAGAAACCAAAGAGAGGCAAATCATATATCGCATTCCTACAAAGAGATTTTCAAATCCACTTAGAATACTGAATATCCATTTTCCATGGACAAGTCAACTTGAGAGACCTAGGGTTGATTAGGGTCTTGAAGCGAGCAAGATCATTTTTTTTTTCATAAGTAAAAGATTAAAAGCTACAGTGGTCTGGAATTCAGAGGAGAAATACTAGGTGAACACGAAGGCTTACTCTAGTCGTATTGAGGCTTTCTTTGACTATTGTCTTTTTGGTGTATAGATCCTTCCCCTAAGCTGTAATTGTGACACTTCGCCTCACTTATCTTACCTCTTCCCTTTGTAATTTTTAGCCCTACTCCGCGGGTTCATGCTGTGACCCTGAGCTTGTAGTACCCAGCTTGTGTATGTGTTGCCCCTCAGTGTGTTGAAACTCCTTTGGAATTTGGCAGTGTGAGGAGGCTGGTGTCCACACGCCAGAGCACACTGATCCTCAGGAGGTGGACAGTGTTCCCTTAGCCAGGTCACCCCGTGATAATCTAAACAAACTAGACCCCTTATGTGAAAAATCAGCTCTGTTTCTAATGTGGGCTATTGTACTACATTTAGATGTACTAATGATACATTTTAGAAAGCGCTTTTCTTATTTATTCCACCGTGAGGACGTTTATGGCTCAGGTGAATATAATTGGTCAGAGTGTTACCTTCCATACTGTGGGGTACTAATAACACAGAAGATTTTGAGTCTAGACATATACTAGTATCTTTCAGAGGATCTCCAAATACCCAGAGTTAGCACCCTGTGGCAGAAGTTGCCCGTTGTCAGTTGTTATTGGCACACCTCCAAACCCCACCATGTGTCATCTTCTAATTCTGTGCTTACCCTACTCCAGTATTTCTTAAATGGTTGTCCAAGGCCCACCCAGATTCCTGGGTCTGCTCTCAGATCTATTGAATCATCATCTCTCTGGGCTGGACCTGGACATCTGCTTTTTTAAACAAATACCCCAGATGACTTGAATAAATCTTAAAATATCAAAATAAACATTTCATTTGAGAACCCGTTTATTCCTCCCTTTTGAAAATTTGAGAACACCTATTTAGTTCTTTGTCTTCTTTTTTTCCTTTCTCAAACATATCTGTTTCCTTTCTCCCACATATCTTTCCTTTCTCCTGTATATTTTCTATTTCTCATTTTTTTGTGTGTGTGTGAGGAAGATCAGCCCTGAGCTAACATCTGTGCTAATCCTCCTCTTTTTGCTGAGGAAGACCGGCTCTGAGCTAACATCTATTGCCAATCTTCCTCCTTTTTTTCCCCCAAAGCCCCAGTAGATAGTTGTATGTCCTAGTTGCACATCCTTCTAGTTGCTGTATGTGGGACGCGGCCTCAGCATGGCCGGAGAAGTGGTGCGTCGGTGCGCGCCCAGGATCCGAACCCAGGCTGCCAGTAGTGGAGTGCACGCACTTAACCGCTAAGCCACGGGGCCAGCCCATCTATTTCTCATTTTTGTGATCACTCCCTTTTCTACATTTCTTGTACACAGACCTGTGTTATATATAGGTAGGGTGACCCCTGAAAAAGAGGATGAAGCTGGCAAGTTGTCTTCCATAAGTACAATAGGCATACCTTATAACTACAACACTTAAAAGTATGGGGAAGTCAAATAATTTTATAAGCTTAAAAATATTACTGTAGGGCCTGCCCGGTGGCGCAAGCAGTTAAGTGTGCACCCTCCGCTGCGGCGGCCCGGGGTTCGCAGGTTTGGATCCCGGGTGTGCACTGACGCACCACTTGTCAAGCCATGCTGTGGCAGCGTCCCATATAAAGTGGAGGAAGATGGGCATGGATGTTAGCCCAGGGCCAGTCTTCCTCAGCAAAAAAAAAAAAAAAAAAAGAGGAGGATTGGCAGATGTTAGCACAGGGCTGATCTCACACACACAAAAAATATATTACTGTAATTGATGTTATATGTGAATCTACAATATATGTGAAACTTACTAGTTTACTAAACTTACTACTTACTAGTTTACTATGTCAAAGTACACAGAGATAGAGTTTTTCATATGTGGGAGCCACATTTCAAAATGCAAATTTCAATGTACAAATAATACATTTATATTGTTACTGTCATTTTTTCCCTAAACACTGGAGTGAGACTAATGATGTACTGTTATGGTTACAAAAAAAGTACTATATGAGATTTTTATTGTCTCAAAGAGCTTACAATCTAGTTGAGAGGCTCAAAAGTGCACACATGCAACATTTAAATAGGAACCTGAGGAAAAGTCTAGGAAGACTTGAAGTGTGTTTGTTGGAGATAAGCAGTATTTGGTTCTTTTTTTTTTTTTGGTGAGGAAGATGGGCCCTGAGCTAACATCTACCGATCCTCCTCTTTTTGCTGAGGAAGACTGGCCCTGGGCTGACATCCATGCCCATCTTCCTCTACTTTATATGGGACACCTCCACAGCATGGCTTGCCAAGTGGTGCGTCGGGGTGCGCCCGGGATCCGAACCAGCGAACCCTGGGCCGCTGCAGCAGAGTGCACGCACTTAACTGCTTGTGCCACCGGGCCAGCTCCAGGATTTGGTTCATTTTTATCTATTCTCCTTTTGTTTATCTGTACTTTCTAATCTGTTATGATTATGAATTACATGTATAACTTTTAAAATATAAAATAAAAAATATACTAGCAGTGTGTGACAATAAAATATTTCCCTTTTACTGTTATTTAGATATTATGAGGTTTAAACTGACCTTCTCAACTAGATTATAAGCTCTTTATAAGCAGGTTTGAATATATACAACCCACATGGACCAGGAAGCAAAAGCACATCCTTTATTGAGAATAGAGGATTCAACCCAGGCCTCGTTAGAATTCCCACAGATAGAGCCTAGAAAAACATGAGCTCACAATCCAAATTACAAAACAAATGAAGAAAAAAGCCATCATGAGCAAGAGGAAGCAGAGACAGAAAAAAGAAAAACAGCAGAATTAGATTCTAGATCTAAAAAACGACAGTTCGAGAAAACAATAGGCCCATTTCACTTATGAAAATAAATGCAAAAATTCTAAATAAAATATTATCTAACTGACTCCAACGTGCTTACTCCAGTGAACTTGGAGAAACCTTGAGACTCATTTCTCTGTCTTTAGTTTAGAATACATCTAGCTAGCTACCTGTCTAGCCATTTGTCGTGAAAACATAATAAATCAAGTAGGGTTTACTCCGGAAAGTCAAGTATGATTTAACATCAGAAAACCTATCAATGTAAATCATCTCAAAAAGACTAAGAGAGCAAAAGCATTTGAGAAAGTGCATCACTTATTAATAATAAAACCTTCCAGGAAAATTAGGAATAGGAAGAAATATACTTAACTTTATGAAGGACCAAAAAGTACAGCAAAAATATTACTTAATCAATTAACTTTAAACACATTCTGTTTAAGTGTGGGATCAAGGCAAGCTTGCCACTACTGTTTAACATGATACTGAAAGTCCTAGCTAACAGAATAAGATTTGTAAAAGGAAGAAGTTAAATAGAAGAATCAGAAGGAAAGAGATAAAACTGGGATTGTTTGCAGTAATATGATCAACTACATAAAACACCCAATAGAAACAATAAGCTACTAGAAATGATACG